GAATTAGTACTTAGGTCGGTCCAAGTAGCTTATTCAGAAACTCTGGCATTGAAGCATGCAAGTCTTAAAGCTGTCAAGTTACAAGATCCTTGCACCCCTAACCCTTTAACAGTGGTAGGTTTCAAAAAATGTTTGGAACCTCTTCTGTAGGTGTGGCCTGCTTTCCGGGTCCACTGGTGGAACTTCTTCTAACCGGTCCAGTAGATTTGACCGGACTACCAAATAGGTGTGAACTGGTAGGAACCCACCTCTGGCCCAGAGGTAATAACACGTTCCTGGTCAAAGTAGCACTTTATGGGAGACTATTATATTACAGTCCCCGCTCGTACCCAGTAGGTACGAGAGATGAGAATCAAATTAGGGAGGGAGCAGAGCCCATCGTTGGCTTCTTATCCAGAAGATGCAGGACACAATTCTTGTGGCTTTGGAATGTGGTTGCACAAGTAGTGCACACTTTGATTGAATGTACATAAAAGCCCCTGAGAAGAACAGATTAACAATCAGATAAGGAGATTGAATGAGATTGTAGCTTGAGGGTCTGAATGGAAAAGCAGACTTAAAATAATATATTACCAGCCTTGTGGAATGCAGGGAGATCTCCATGACTTCAGCTCAACCTGCTATTTTTGCAAGCAAAGGAGCATCTCGTTTGCTAAATTTATACAGTTCATCTTCTATTCTCCTTCAGGCTGAAGGGACAAGAAGAGTGAATAAATACGACATCCAGAATTATTCTTCCATCCATTGTAAAACCAGAGATAAGAGTTGTATCCTCTGAAGGGCAAAGTAGTTACAACTCCATTCTTGGGAGTTGCAATTGCATGTATATTTTTTTTCCAATGTTTCATTTTTGTCTTTGCTTGCAATATATATATTTAAAAATCTCATTGTTCAGCCAGAAAGACTCCCAGGGCATCTTTCAGATAAGATAGTCCTGGTCTGCTGGTTTACAACTTAAAAGCTCTCTTAGCAAAGTAAAGGGAGGGAGAAGGGAGGAAGGCCAACAGAAGCTATGATACTAGCATAGTCCGTGCTGTGGGTTGTGTAACTAAGCAAAATGAAAAGTCTGCAGCTTGTTCTTTGTCAAGGCTCCAGTTTCTTGCGTAGGAGTAGCAATGAAAGCAATATTTCCTGAGTACAGATAGAGGAAAGTTAAATTAGAGATATTTATATAATATAACCCATTTCATTGTATTTATTTTGTACAATGACAATGAAGACTATACTATAGAGATATTGTCTGGCTGAAGATCCAGAAGGCCATGTCCCAATCACCTGAGTCATGGTTGCCCCACAGGTGCTTGTCAAAAGATAACTGGGCTTTCTTAGGTTTTTTTCCCCCTTGAAAACATTTTGCTTCTCATCCAAGAAGCTACTTCAGTTCTGAATTTCACTGAAGGAGATTCTTGAATGAGATGCAAAAACCCCAAGAAAGTCCAGTTGCCCTTTGGAAAAAACCTTTTGGGACATCCAGAAATAGAACTTTCGGATGCCCAAAGGTACACATGTTCTATTTAGCTTGTGAAGCAACTGGACTCGAGTTTCATTTGTGATATTCAATTCAATTCAATTTATTAGATTTATAGGCTGCCCAATCCCGGAGGACTCCGGGAAGCTTACAAAGAACAAGAAAAGAAAAATGAAATAAAAATAAAAAATAAATTAAAAATTAAAAATTTCCCAACACGCATACATTCTGATCGGGGCTGGACCCTACATAATAAGGTCAACAGCCCCAGGCCTGCCGGAACAGCCAGGTTTTAACAGCTTTCCTGAAGGCGCGGAGGGTGGGTGAGGTCCGAACCTCTGGGGGCAGCGGATCCCAGAGGGTCGGAGCGGCCACAGAGAAGGCTCTCCTCTGAGGCCCCGCCAGCTGACACTGTCCAGCTGACAGCGTCCTAAGGAGGCCCACCCTGTGGGATCTTATCGACC